TCGTCACAGTCCCCTCACCCAATAAACTGGATGCCAGGATGTCTGCAACGACACCAGGCCCCCCCTGGTTACCATGGCAACCCTGACACCAGATACATTTACGACCTAATGGAATGTAAGTAGGGAAAATCACTGCCTTTTTCTTAAGGAAGAGACACAATGCACAGTAGAAATGGACTTTTCTACTAATTAATTCATAGGAAAACCTTTCTTTGAATGAACACACATATCCTTCAGGTCATTGTGTATATTATTGCTGTCTTGTATATTATCTGTTGTATTGTAGACTATTTTATGCATGCTTATGATAGAACCACTCATTCATGTAACCTTACATATACCGTGTTTGGTCTCTATTAATTCGTATTCGGATGATCTAATTGAGAGTGTATATTGTATGTTTATACCTATGCAACATATTAGTGTTCTAAGAATCTTTATTAGTTTGTGCATCAACACCCCAAGCGAATTACATTTGCAAATTACCATGCCCTCACACAAAGGGTCGTAAAACCCTCCAGCAATTGCAACCTCCCGCTTGGAATTTCTGCCTTTCTCATTGGACAAGCCCATCTTGAGAGGCGGGGATCTTCTCCGACCTTAAAGGCATCACCCCATGTGACCCTCCCAGAGTCGGTGGTTCGGTTAGATGCTAAGATGAAGATGTGAGCAAACGCTCCAGGATACCCAAGCTTGTGCCAGGCCTTCGGGCCTAGACTTTTCCACTCACCAAGATTCTCTAATGCAAACTGGTTCTCTTTTCATTAGTAAATATCTACAGCGGATCTAAATATTTATAATTAATTATAACTAGTTATGATTAATTAGTCATATTTCCCCATGAGCTGATTCGCTACACACAACTTTTATGGATTTTGAAGCCCAAATTCAATCAGCAGAAGTTCAACGCTAAAGTTAGGCTATAAACGAAATACACCATGGTTTAAAAACATTCCCCTGAAAACTTGAGTTAGAATAGTTTGCAAGAGTGTGATTATTAACACAATGAGTGAGTAGATGAGTTTACCTGTTCAGTGTGATGACGTTTTGATGGTCCTGACAACCTCTGTAGTCTCATTTTAGCCACTTGTTAGCGACCGCCTTCTTCAACCAAGTAGGGTGTCCATATGTCTTCTTTTTGTCCACACATGTCCTGGTCGAGATTTCTAAATAGCCTAAAATGTCCAGGTTTTAGCTTTGTTTTCCTATTGTTTTCATACTCACTAAAGGTAATGACTGGAAAGCAGTTTGACCAATAGCGCGCAGGTATTTAACATAATTGACCAATCACAGCATCCAAGTGGGTGGGATCTGTGCACTCTAAGAAAAAGGTACAAATGCTGTCACTGTGATGGTATCCTTTCAAAAGGTACTAATAAATACCATAATAAATAATGAATAATGAACAATAAATACCATTTAAGTACTAATATGTACACTAAGGTACTAATATGCACCTTTTAGGGTAAATGTATAAGGTGTAGTTTATACAAAAGGTACCACCCCAGTGACAGATTTTGTACCTTTTTTTCTGAGAGTGTAGAGAACAGTCAAAGCAATGCAAAACACAGGCAATTTAGAAATCCCGGCCAGGACACATCTGTGAAAAAGAAGGCGTATGGTCACCTTAAGAAGTAAATAATCACGAGTTTTAATGGCCTTGTCATCTTTCCTAATAGCAGTGGTTCTCAAACAATAGATGTCCATCAGATGTCACGCAGCACAATACTGGAAATTGACAGTATTGACATAAAAATAAACAATTAATTCAAATAATTTTCCCAGTAAGACTCTTTTTTTACCTCAGTAAGACTGATGCATAGACCACATTTTTATATTGTCCGCTCACATCCTGCACTGCCAGTGTTTTACATGTACGTTTATGCATTTGGCAAATACTTTCGTCCATTGACATTCAATGTGACATTGCATTGAGGGTGTGCATTTGATCACTTCATGCATTTCCTGGAAATCTGACTCATGATCTCACCATTGTTAGCATAGTGCTCTAATGTTTGTGCTTCAGTAGTGTTTGCTTTGAGTTGCATAAACCACCATTTCTCATGCAAAAAAGACAACAGGCAAAAACTGAGACAATCAGCCAAACAGTTTAAAGAGCGGGCTGATTTTGACTCAGCACTGAATTCAGCACTCAGTTTTGAGCATCTTTGCTCCAATTTCAAAAATACCTTTATTATGATGTATAAGTGTGTTTAAACTGGATTTTAAAACTTGAAGTGCTATTTTACACTATGGTGGTGGTTGAGGAGAGACCCGTCCACATGATACACAATAAAGCGCTATATAAATGCATCATTCATCATTCATTTTTGTTGTGCATATGTGCTTTAAGGCTCTTCCACAGATCTGCAAAGGCCAGTCGAATTCAACTGAAGGTGGTTCTTGGCCTGAAAAGTTTGAGAAACACTCCTCTAGTGTATTCAGACTTACAGAAGTCGATGGATGGAAAAACCCCAAAAGAATAAGGGAAAAGGTTACATGAATCAGCACTGGAAAGCCTGATGAGAGAAGTGTGTGTGTGTGGTGGAACAACTGGTTTAGGGAGACTCATACAGATGACATGCTGAAAAAATAGGGCGACTGGTGCAGAGTGTTTTAGAGCAGTGCTTCTCAACTGGTGTTGCTTCAAGACCCAGATTTTACTCTCAACATTATGTCAATGTGTACAAAATGTTCTTAAAAACACACATTTAAATTCTGTTTTTTTTTTTTACTAGTTTTAAGACTAATTGGACTGCAAAATTAGCATAGTATTTGTGTTTTTTGATAGTCAGGGCCCGTCAAGGGACAGAAGCATGATTCATCTTAACCACAGGAATATTGAAGTTAATCAAATAATGGCAATAGAGGTATCTGTTTGCTTAATACTGGGTGGTTGGCTGTTCTGAACTGATCATAAGTGATATGTGGCCAGAAAATGTAAGAAACCCTGGTTGTAATTCCAGTTCCAAAGGTACACTACCATTGTTTTTTTTGTTTTTTGAAAAAAGTCCCTTTTGCTTACCATCAAAAACACAGTAATATTGTTAAATAGTATTACGGTTTAAAATAACTGTTTTCTATTAGAATATATTTTGTAAAAATGTAATTTATTCCTGTGATGCAAAGCATCATTACTCCAGTCTTCAGTGTCACATGATCCTTCAGAAATCATTCTCAAGTCAAGTCAAGTCAAGTCTGCTTTATTGTCAATTCTTCCACATGTACAGCACATACACACAGAGAATTGAAATTGCGTTACTCTCAGACCCTTGGTGCATACAGATAACACTAACAGTAGAACATAAATACAGATATACAGATTAAATATAAAATACAACTATACAAATAAGGTAAAATGTAAAAAAAAATTTAAAAAAATAATAAATAAAAAAAAAAAAAATATTCTATGCAGTCACATAAGTTTTGTTGTATCGCCCTCGAGTGTTTCCATGTTTGAGAGGTAACACATCTTATTCTTACCAATAGTAATAAAATAATTTAATATACAATTTAATAATATTGATATTAGGGGTGGAAGGGTTTGCGGAAAAAATCGAACCGTACGGTTCTCCACACACGGTTCTGCACGCGCTAAGACCACGGTTCAACTTAAATCTGACAACAAAACCGTGACTCTAAAACCGTGATACAAACCGAACCGTGAGTAAGTTGAACCGTTCCACCCCTAACTGATATACACTACCAGTCAAAAGTTTTTAACAGTAAGATTTTTAATGTTTTTAAACGAATTCTCTTCTGCTCACCAAGTCTGCATTTATTTGATTTAAAATACAGTAAAAACATTAATATTGTGAAATATTTTTACTATTTAAAATAACTGCTTTCTATTTGAATATATGTGAAAATATAATTTATTCCTGTGATTTCAAAGCTGAATTTTCAGCTTCATTACTTCAGTCTTCAGTGTCACATGATTCTTCAGAAATCATTCTAATATGCTGATTTCCTGCTCAAGAAACATTTATTATTATTATTATTATTATTATGTTGAAAACAGCTGAGTAGAATTTGTTCAGGTTTCTTTGATGAATAGAAAGTTCAGAAGAACAGCATTTATCTGAAATAGAAATCTTTTGTAACATTATACATGTCTTTAGCATAACTTCTGATCAATTTAAAGCATCCTTGCTAAATAAAAGTATTAATTTCTATAATTTATTTTATGAAATTTCTATAATTTATTTTATTTTCTATTCATCAAAGAATCCTGAAAAAAATGTACTTAACAGTTTTAAATATTAGTAATAATAATAATAATAATAATAATGACACCACATTTATTTGCATTTTATTTGCACACAAAAAGTGTTTCCTAACTAGTTTTTGTGACATTTCACATTGACATAGAATTTATGCTTTAAAATTTGATGAACAAATTTTGACATTTTGATTAGCTAAAAAAGGCAAAAAATGAATTTTTTTTTTTTCAGAAGAACAGCATTTATTTGAATATAAATCTTTTGTAACACTATAAATGTCTTTGCTGATACGTTTGATCTTTTTAATGCATCCTTGCAGAATAAAACAATTTCTTTCAAATAAATCTTGCTGACTGCAAATTTGAAAGGTAGTCTATGTTTGTTACTGTATGCATTAAACGCTGCCTGTCATTGCACTCATTTAAGGGGTAATTTTGGAGGAAACAGACAGAATGAGATGTTCTATCAGCCCAGGCCAGCATCCTGTCTTCAGTTTCGCCTTTGTTATGAAGGATGTACTGTGAAATGTTGTCACGGTAACAGCAGGACATAAGAAACAGGACATCTTGCACATTGAATTCTTAATCAATTTTGAAGTACTTGAGCGTGAAGAGTGGGGTTCACCTGATCGCTGTGTTCAACCTCCCCCATCTCTGGATGAAACGAGGCCACAAAGCTTTTCTCGTTGATTCTTCTGCATTAAAGTTACCTTTTGGTGCAGTAATAATGCAAAATGAAATGTTTCTGATTGTCCTGTTCTCTGTGCTTTCTTCACAGGTGGAGGTTCACGTTTTACCTGTACATATTTACTTACGGTGTGCGCTTCCTGAAGAAGGTAAGCGATCTGCTTTGACTGAATAATTGATGGTCATTGTGAAACAGTACATCTTTTATGATTGACAAGTCGATGCATCCATTATTCTGTTTTGCCCTCAGTCGTGGTGTTTCCATAAAACACTGAGTTGTTGACAGGATGTTGTCGAGCAGAGAAGCTTTGTTTTTTCACAGCATTATCAAATAGATGCAGTGTCACTGTTTTTCATTTACTTATTTGGTATCACAAGTACAAAACGCAGTAGCACACTGAGAGTTATTCTACATTTTTCCTTTCATCATCTCTTGGGGTTTTGTGGAGCGAACATGCAGACAAGATGAAGTTAGAGAGATGTCAGCTCTGACTTGATTTTGATTTTATTTGTTGCGTTGTACTGTGCGGCGAGAGACAGCATCCATAAACTCGCATTCTCTCTCTCTCTGCCCTTCCTCTCATAAAGCTATTCATAATTCATCACTCTATCCATAATGCAGATTATTTTCCTCCAAGCAAACATGTTCAGAATAACTGGCTGCATAACTGACTCTTCAATGAAGCAATTAAAGGATAGTTCACACAGAAATAAAGATTCTGTCACTATTTACTCACCCTCATGTTGATCCTAACTAGAACTGCACAATATATCACAAATGGACTTGAATGGAGCTTATCATCATCAATCATTTGCATTTTGATATGATTTTACTGCATCAATCTGTAAAGATTATGTAGATGCAGCAAGCAGACTGATGATAAGATTATATATTATAAATGTATATAATCTATAATTTATATTTAAATATATAAAATATATGTAAAAAATTATTAAAATGTATAAAAATTGAAATATATAAAACATATACAAATAAATATAAAAATATATTAAATAAATAGTTTTAATAATTAATGTATTAAATTACATTAATTATTACATTGTATTAAATTCTACATATTTATGT